ATTTTAGAATTTTTTTAAATTTTTGAACAGTTTTATAATTTTTTCATAAATTTCTCAAATCTTTTATACAAATTGGAACATTTTTCAGTATTGAAAAACACATCTTTTCCAGAATTCTTCGTATACGTATATGTAAATTCTAAAATATTCTAAGATTTCTAAGATTTTTTATTCCATAATTTTTAATAAAATCTTATAACATGTGAAATAGACAATTCGGCATAATAATTCGGTATTAAAATATTAATTTTTTTTTTCAGAAATTATATATAATAAAATATCTTAAAAATTTTAGAATACTTCAAACTTTACATATATAAAAAATTCTAAAAGATTTAGACCTTCTCAAAAAAAAATTTTAGAAAGATTTAGTATTTCTAAAGTGTTCCAATTCGTAAAAATTATGAGAAAAATTTCACAAGATATTCGAATGAATATAGTAAGAGATTAAACAAAAATGGATTTCTACAAATGGCATTAATTCTATAGAATATCATATGTCTTTTAACCATTCTCCTTATCAACAATAATGAAAAAATTTTTCATATTTTCTTTGACTTAAGGAGTTCTGCCTGATAAAGCAGCAATCAGGATGGAAATGACGGAAAAAACATGGCAAAATCCTTACTGCACTACGCCGGAAAGTTCACTGCCACCATCGAGAAGGCTTTCGCCAGGCAGAATGGGTGAACTCAACAGGCCAAGGTGGGGCAGTGTCTGGGGTCAAGACGCAGCTAGAGGTGACCCACCGCCGCCTTCTTGGCTATCAAGATTAGGACAGTCGAGCCAAGTAATGTTTACTAGAACTTTAATTATCCATTCAATTATCTACAAAGAACTTTTTGAGCATCTTCAAAAGTCTAAGATTAAAAACTATTCAAGAGCATTTGTTTCATCTATCCCACAGTATTTATAATTAAATCAAATACTCTGTTTATCAAGGTTCTGGTGATCAACCACGATAGCGCCAGCAGCCCGGACAGTTCAACGACTGGCTCAACCGGCTCCGATATCAATAAAGTATCTTATCTTCGGGGTCAAAATATTCCTATGGACGCGGACATCCTTCAAGAACGCGAAATGAAACGTCAGAAAGCACTGGAGCTTCAAAACGCCATCAAACAGCAACTCGAGGAAAAGGACAGACAAAGGAAAGAAGAGAAAGAGCGGCGGATGAGAGAAGAGATGTTGGAAGAAGAACGAATCCGGCGAGAGAGAGAAAGGGACAAAGCAAGGTAAACTAAATATAAAATATTAGGTATAAAGTAAAAACCAATTCTGGGACGGAGAGAAGAGTAAAAAGATTCTCATATTGTCTTATACGTTGTTGCAAAATTACAATCTTTTTCTCTATAGAATTTTTTTTTAGAAGATACTTTCTCGGAATCCGATCCGGAATATCCAGAAAATGTCGAATATCTGACTCGAAGAAATTACCTTCTCGGATATTCGATTGGATACCGGATATCCGATGTTACATTCTATCCGGATATCCGATATCCGTTAATTTTACGGTCCTGTGCATTCCTATGTAAAATTATAAATCACACTACAGCCCAACTTATACTTCATCTTTTTCTAACTCTAAGTATTAGAAAAAGATAAAGATCGAGTAAGTTGAATTGAGATCAAAGTTAATCTACACTGATAACGGGCATCTATGAATTCACTCCGTTGTAGATTTGAAGAAGAGCAGCGAATAATACGCGAAAAGGAGGAGGCGAAGTCGAGAAAGGCGCAAGCCATGCGCGAGGTGTTGGAAGCTGCGGAACGGTTGGCAAAGGAAGATCGGAAGAATCGACGAAAGCGAGAGGAACACACCGACGAAGATATCGACGTTGTGACGCAATTTTCCAACAAGTCGAACACGACAGCAAACATAAGCGACAAACGCGAAGAAGAGAGCTGTTCACAAGCGCAAAAGCAAAGCGCAAGTTTGATCGATCATCCTGAAGAAAAGTCCAGCCTGAAGGATGCCAAAGAGACCGACAGTTGTCGGGAAAGCGAGAACGATAAAAATCCGAGAGAAATTTGTCCACGGAAAAGTTACGCGGACAAATCGGAAGAGACCATGCTGGACCTGAATCCGAGATCCGTCCAGATGCCCGTGAGCAAGGACGTGGCGATCGTGCTGAGCGGCCGGCTGGAGGATCCCGAAATTCTAAGCAGGGCGAATCTGCAGCTGGTGAACCTGGTGATGACGCCGAGCCCGCGCAAATTCACAGAGAGCGCCGCGGATTATTTCTCGCTGGGACTCAATACGATCATGAGGAATAACACAAGTCCCAGGAATCCGAGGAGGTCGTCGAGGGACGCCTCGTCGACTGTTGTGGAGAACAGACTGTTGACGCCGAGCAAATACAGAATGCCAGCCGGTCGGGACTTTGGCACTCAGACAGACGTGGAATCCGACGTCCAGGAGCTACGGGAGAAGCTACAGGATCAGTCGGTCGGAGACCAAGGTACCATGAAGGAGCGGAAGGACACGACAAACGCCAACCGTAGAAACGTTGAAAAGTGAGTCGCCATCTTCGCGATCTCGATGTCGCATTTCCGAGCTTCTTAGAGGCCGAAACCAACGACTGTGTCCTCCCCTGCATGCGGTAGTATCTGTCGGTAATTATCGTTTTTATTTCATACTGTATAGTTCAATAATAAGGTTGATGATCGTAAAGACGCTTTACCGTGAAATGTCTGCCGATTCGCGCGAGGAAAATACCCAGTAAGTTGAATGCTCTTCATTGATTCTCTTACGAGAATAGGAAGCGTAACTTATCTAAAGCCCAACGATGCTAGAAATCGGTCCGAGATCTCGGACAGAGAAAAAATTAACAAATCACATTTGAACAATTTGATCACGTGACCATTGCGATTGGTCAATTCTTTCTTCATCCGAGGTCTCGACCGATTTTTAGCATCGTGGACACAAGGCTTTACACTTGATTCTCCTTAATTTGTCATGTTATTGGTGATATTATTTTTTTTTTGGACTTTCGCTCAAGTTTGCCGCTTCAAATTCGAATGCATCTTGGCTAATGCTAAACTTGGCAATTAAGCTACCTGCTATATATCGTTCTCGCCTGACAGAAAACGCTTAAAAAATTTATCAATAAAATTAATTACGATACTTCAGTACGATTGTAATTGTTTGAAGATCAAATAATATGGGTCCTGGCGAAGAAATTCCTATAAAAACTCTTCCACGAGCCAAATCGCAGCCCAGAACTACGCTCGATAGCAGACCGCGATGGAACGCCAATCGGTAATTAAAGATATTACAAAAGCTATTAGGACTATTAATGTTTCAAGTTAACGTGACAAGTTAATCCTAACTTATTTGTTTGGCACAAGTGTCGCGAATGTAATAATTATTAAAGATACTCTTAGTCCAGGTACACGATATCGAACGCAAAGCGAGAAAGATCCGCACTATCAAAGACGATTGCGATTAAGAAGACGACAAATCGAATCCAGCGACGAAGGATCTAGGTAAAGGAATTTCAAAAAAGACTAAAAATAAATAAACCCAAGTAGCACAGCAGCCCTTGCAAAGGGTTAAAAAAGCGATTATATGCACTTTGTTAATGCTTTGTAAGCGCTGTATGCTACTTGGGTAAACTTTCTAAAATTATCTAAGGAGAATTGGTACACATAATTTCAAATGCAGTAATTATAGAAGGTAAAAGACATTAAAATTTAAAGAAATGAGATTCATAAATATAAATGAGGATATATTACTCCCTACTACTTCAAAAGTGACACAACTAAAAAAAAATTAAGTTTAAGAAACAAGGAAAAACTTTTTTTTCAATTTGACAGAAAATTATTAATTAATTAAATAATATCAATAAAAAGAATATAGAGTAAAGTCATGATACAAGTAGACATGGTGTGCTTGTAATTAACAATGAGACAAGTTTGCGCATATAGCAACGCGCTGACCTTATTTTCCGCTATTTTATAATATATATTCGCGCGATTGTCATATGATTTAAAATAATTAAAAAATATATTAAATATTAAGTAAAAAATAATAAATAATAGTAAAAAAATTAATAAATAAGTAATTATTTACTATAAATAAGTGATTATTTACTCTATGTGTGAAACTGAGTTTTACTGTCATAGCAGGCATAAAACTCATTCATGGCAAATAACAACTTGAAATTAAATAACGTTTTTTATAAGTTGTGTCACTTTTGAAATAAGGAGAGGGGGAAACGATATTTTTGCGAAAAAAAAAATTTTAGGACGGAATTCTTTTAATCAATTATTGTATCACTCACGGTTTCGTGCTACTTACTGCAACTTCATCATTATAAGATGAAATTTATCTTTATTAGATCACCGTCCCCCGACCGACGAAAATCAAATAACGGAAAATCAAAGAGTCGAAGTACTATAAGACGTAAGGCAAAACCCGAGAATTACGACGCCGACCTGTCGATGGACAGTCTGAATTCCGTTGTGCCTTTGCGAATCGACAAAGACGGGAAAATTAATATCGAGAAATCACTGTCAGGGACCGATATGAGTCACACAAAAAAAACGGATGAAGACAGTTCTAACATCTGGTGCGGACAGGAAATCTTGTCCAAACTGACATCATTGAGAAGCGTATTAAATTATGTTTTTATATAAAAAATTTTTACTGGATCGATATATTTTAATCCAAAATGAAACTTTGGATTCTTTTTAAGATTGAATTATGCATTATTGATGGACGTTAGGAAGAGTTTCGATATTCCTCAAAATGCATTTATTTTTATTTTTCAGGGACTTTTAATGAAGCAGATCGAGTGGGATTCCGAGCGATGTCTGGTCTCACCCACTGCATCCGAAATCTTTTAAATGCCTACAGGATTTTCTTATCATTAAAACATCATTCTGTTTTCCTTTTCATTTGCGTAGAAAGTGAGATCGAGTAAAATGCGAAAGGGATCGAGGAACATTTATTTGTTTCTTTCAGCATACGATAAAATAAATTCAAGCTTCTTTTTCGCGTTGCAGATTTAGATAATGGCCTTCCAATTGGACGATTTACTGAAGGATGATAAAAAAGATGCGAATTTGATACCCGATTTAAGTAAAGCAACTTGCAATTCTTACGAGGAATTCCGGCGACTCAAGGAAAATTGTCCGGAGTTTAAGATCAAACCAGAAAAGGTTTTAATAACAAACATCTAATAATAATATGCTACGAATTTCAGGTACCAAAGAATTTGCGAGTTATTACCGTGTCGTGACTCATTGCTAATGCCAATTTCGTGAATCTTGCCGTTCTTTTCATCAGGGCGATCCCTAATGTCTAGACTCTGATCATCTAATTTCGTTCTTTTGCTATATTTCTCTAACAATTTTATCAATGTAATTAAAAAACAATCCAATACTCAAAGGGTTAAATATTCATTTTAATTCCATCACTTTAATTTATAATTTAACGAAATCGATTCGATGTCGATTCCATTATCATGTTCTGATGGACTTGAAAATTCTGACTGGAATTGAAGTAGTTAATTTCAGGTATAATTATTATAAATGTCTTGGGAATAAAATTTGTAAGTCTTATAAATATAGATGTTTTTTTTTTCGAATATTAAATTAGTATCAGCTCCGATCCAATCCATTTCAATCCATTTCAATCTATTTTCATAAATTTAAAATACACATTCAAAGAATTTTAATCCATTCTCGTTTACTGGGTATTTCAGAATTCACATTATACGAAAAATTCTAAGAAAAGATGTAGACTTTATAAGTATTTCTGAAAAGTTCTAATTCTAGAGATATAATAAAAATAAAATATAATAAAAATTCTGATAAAAATTTTAATTAGGGATATGTTAAATATTATGTCCATCATGAGGGCATAATACTTACAATTGTGAGATTTTAATTGGAAAAAAATTGCAAAGGTAAAAAAAGAAGATACGAAGGTTCGCGACAAAGAATTTTCTTGCAAAGCGACCAAAAAGGAACTCAAAAACATCGGCAGGGAATGGGCTTACGGAGATCCAGTTCCACCAGATATGAGGAGCTTGGATCTGCAGGAGCTGCAACAAGTCGCTATCGATTGGCGAATGCTGACTCCGATCAGACCAAAGCTTCGCCAAGATGAAGAGATGTTCTCGAGATTGGTAAAGATCTATTCTTACATAATTTGTGAATTTTTTAATATTATTTTATATCATTACAAAAATGCAAATTTCATCTCTTTAATCTCTTTGTTCTTCAAGGTGGAGATGGGTAAATTAGAGGCGAAGACTATAGCGAAAGAACGCCGCTCGCCAACGAGCCCTATTAGACGAAGTAAAAATCGTGCAGGGATAATTGAAAGCAGCGTGAAAACCTGCAAAGAATGCGGCGAGGAGTATTGTTTCGGCGAATTTTGTGGGGACGTTCTCT